AACCACATCCGTGACATTAAAATTTCCGTTGTCCCAGCCCACCTCAGAGAACCCAGCTTAAATGGTAGAGACTACAACCCTGATATCCCAGGGGATGAACCAGTCAGGAAGCTAGGTCTATGTCTAGCTCAACTTATACTGCACCTTGATGTCAATGTAATAAAATCCAGTATCTTTCACTGTTTTTTTTTCTAGATCATGGTGAGATTTCTGCTGAATACTTACAGCCTGGAAATCCTCGACCGTCGTAAGACGCATTTCTGCGTTGTCCTTTTCTGCCTTTAGCTCCAGCTCAATGTTGAGCAGAGCAACAAGGGGATCTTTGTAATGTTTTGGCTGCATCTCAAATCCTGCATAGCTGAACGCTTTCTGGAAGGCGACTCCTCTAACGAGGCGAGACTCCTAAACGAGAACACGAAACTGATACTGCAAGGTCATCACTTCATAATCCACGGCAGAACTCACATTCAAATTTCCACCGCTAACTTTCTTGATTCCAATCATATTTAGTGGTAAGGATTCGTCAAGGATATTCACTGCATCCACAACCATTTCAGCGAAAAACTCACGCTCTTGACTCACCTATAACAATAAGGTGAAATGAGGAGTATCCTAATGGAAGTTTTTGAACAAAGAAATGAAAGAGCAAAGTTGGTAACATTAACAAGGAAAAAATTTGGCACACAAACAAAAAAGTGAAAGAAAGGTGAACTTACAAGCTTGCTACTAAGTGTGGTCATGGCGCACTTGACCAGCATTTCTCGCAATTCCTTTTCACCTTCGATTTTAATGGCCAACTTGGACAAATGATCCAGAGCCTTAAGGAAATCATTAAAATAATAATCAAACAGAGGCGTCTGACAGTATTAGTGCTAACCTCTTCACTTGCTTTTGTTATTGCACGAATAAGCAACTGAGGATGAACCCCGTCCTCAATAAAAGGCTTCATCCGTTTAAGGATTTCTGCGGCTAGCACAACAACTGCAACGTATGCCCTTAGATTTATTTGAAATTATCAATTATTCTGTCTGCAAAGTAAACCTGATGTGGTTCCATCGCCCACTTCAGCATCTTGGGATTTCGCAATGTCGACCATTACATTGGCAGCCGGAAAGACGATATCCAAGAGTTTAAGAATGGTCGCGCCATCATTGGAAATCGTTGTTTTACCTAAAACCGAAAAGGAACACTCGCAGCGTAAAATTTGAGAAAAACGGAATTGAAAATTTGCAAATAACGCAAAGCAGAGACCATGTAACAAAAGCGCAGCGGACGGCGCAATGTCGATACCGCGCAAATGAAACCAGTGTTTGCGAGGCTATGAAAGGCTGGGAGTAGGGTACTCTACAGCCCACTCCCAACATGGCACCATGCTATTCTTACTACTGGAACCTATCGCGACAGTAAGTTACGAGCTATTTATTGAAGCGTCGCTGAATGAGAAAGTAATGGCGAAATGGAAAATGAGGATCAACAAACCTTTGCTGTCGACGATCAGTTTATCCAAACCTCTCGGACCCAAAGTAGTGCGAATACTGTCGGCTACGACCTGAAAAAAAAAGACCAGTAAGGACACAAGCGTCGACCAGGTTCACACGGTTCACCTAGCTATCGCATATTTACTTTGTTTAGTTCGCATAGTTTCACGCCAACAACAGAGCACAATCAGGTTTACTTGGTGTCACTTTATGCTAACCATCGATTGTTCATTCTTGAGCTGAGCTGATTGCTCTTCAGGCTGTTTTTTACACTCGTATTGCATTTAACTATAAGCAATTTGCGATTACCGCTGTCTAGTGAAGACCCAATAAAGCAAATAGAGTTTCACTGACTTTCAGCAGCTTCGCTCTGTTTTGCATAAAAGAACCGGAATGGAAACCCGGCGCAAGTGTGGCTTGGGGGGGGGCACCACGCAACATCGCGTCAAAATCACGGAAACGCTCCGTTTTAGGACTAAGCTTTTGAAGAGGAGAGGAACTCCGGTGTACGGAAGCAATTTTCGTATTCTCCGGAGTTCGTCCCTGCTGTTTAGGCTTAGTCCTAGATGACTTTTCTCAGAGTGCCCCCCCCGAGCCACATTGCGCCGGATACTTTTTTATCTTGAACTCATAAAATTCACGTAGCATGCACCTTTTCTTGAAGATCCAGTAAAGCAAAAAAGCGAGACATACCTGACAAGCATTGATGTTGGAAATTATTTGTTGTTTTCCTTGCTTATTCTCAGTCCCTTCTTTGAGAAGAATAATTGGTGGTCGCATCATCTTTGCAAGTCTGTTGTCGAACCGTTACCCTATTAACAACATCAAAATCATCAAAATGCATGAAAGGCTCTAATATGTGCAGTGTAGAGTGTATATTCAATTGTGTTAAGGATACAAACGATAAAAAGCTGGCCAAAAAAGACCCAAGAAAGCACTCCAACTAGAACTCTGTATTCAGTATTCATGCTTCCTATGTTAAGACGGAACTAGATAGCGACCATAAACTATAGGAGTTTCTTAGTCTAACAACAACGAGAAAGCATGCAAGGAATCAGCGTAATGTTCTTCTCGAATCCATTTCGTTGCCTGCAGCCTTTAAAGTTGATTGGGGCGCGGAAACTCGTCCAACGGAAAGAGGTTCGCAAAATGATGCAAGAACTATTCTGGGGTCGTATACTTGATGCAAGAACTATTCTGGGGTCGGGGGGAGGGGGAGAGGGAAGGAGTCTCTTAAGCTTCCTTCGTTTTCTCAACCAGCACTGTCTGAGGCAGGGCCTATGCAAAGTACATTTGTGTAAAACTAAGCATGTGTTGAAAGTAAA